CGCCATAATCATTTATATAGTTGGTTTGGTTTCTTGGTTACTCTGGTTACTTCCATGTAGTGATCATAATGAATAAATGATCTAAAATGAAGTTGAACTGTGCCGCATTCAATCCACTTAAACAACCAACACAAAGAAACAAAGTTTTTGTTGCATGAAATATTATGACTAATGTACAATTTCGAGATGCTGAATTTTTTATACCAGCTTCAGTTTTTGAGATATAAGAAAAGCGTGATTTTCAAGAAAAAATATTTTAATTTTTTACAATCATTAGAAAAACAAGCGCTATTTTTCAAAAATAAAACTTTTATAGAATTTTCTTGCTCGACTTAGTTTCCAAGGGGTATTTTTGATGCTCCAACAGTAGTCTGCCATCATATGGGCATCTCAGTGACCCTGGTACTGCTTCTCTATAGTTCGAATATCTTGATTGAACAGTTCCCCCTGTTCTTCACTCATATCACCAAGATTTTCAGGGAAATGGTGCAAATGGCTGTGTAGGCTGATACTCATATTACAACCAAGCTGTTGGAAGTGCGACAATATCTTTTCAACATGCTCAGAATAGCTTTCATCCTTTTTTCTGTTTCCCAGAAAATTTTGTGCAATTCACACGAATTTCTTCCAGACATTTTTTCGATATAGTCATATTACTATTGAAATTTTCATCCTTTATCAACCTTCTTACATGGACCATAAAAAAATCCGGTTTTCAGTTTCTCTGTACTCATATAATGAAACTTTTTAGAGATTTTGTGAAAGAAAGGTATTGACTTTCTACTTCTCCATCTTGATACAAAAATTGATAACTTCCTTCCTTTCTTTGGAAGATTCACACATTTTTTTGTAACAAGATGGAGAAGTAGAACGCCAAAACTTCTCTTTCCCAAAATGTAACCTCTCATAAAAATAAACCCCTTTCAATTTAAACAAGATTCTTTTGGCTAGGATTTAATCAAATAAGCGAATAAATGTCATTACGAATACATCGATGACATGAGTAGATCAAACTCATTCCGTTACATAAAGTCGTAATTTTATGAATGAATTGTGTATTTTGTCTCATGTTATCCAGATTTGAAAATGAAGAGCTGATAAGGCAAGTGTCTTATGGCGAAACATCAAGTATCTACCAGTGAGGATGACACTGTTCCGTGTAAGTGAAATTTTACCTCTTTCATTTACTATATTGTGTAGGAATCCTGTTAATGATATCTGATTCGATTCCATATCGGATGTTTGGAATACAAACTGAATAGAGAAAAGTTTTTTTTTGTATAATTCAGTGTTCATAAAATAGTATTTGTTTCGAAAGTATTTGTTTCG